TTTACAGGAAACAATAGTGTATTTCATTAATCAACACGAATCATTACAAATGTGTCGTTAGGTACATAGTTTTAGTGACCAATAAATTGATCTAAAGTGAATTACATAAATAGACAAATAAGAGGAAAACCCTTAAACGACAACCACAAGAGCTAACATACAACCGTCAAGTGCATAAGAGCTACGAGTACAGATCTGTTACAATAAATGATCGCGAAAAAAGAAGATCACATCAAGTCATCGTTTTGTTAGCAAACGAGACTACCAAAACGCATTGCACAAAGACAAAAACCAATTTGACCAAAACAAACAGCGACACCATGGTGCACCAAGGCGAGTGGACAACGAGACATGTTGATAAAACATGAATAGCGAAACATAAAATTGTTACAAGTTCGCGTTATTTTTGTGTTAAATAACACATGGGATAAAATAATGTGCAAGTTCTACATCATAATTATTCTACTTGAACAGTTAAGAATTAAATAAATATGCTAAGTCAGATCGCTTTGAGTATCTCATATAGTTACGTTATCGATAATTTATATGGTGTTAATGTTGTTCTCTTCCTTCCGACACATTTGAGTTTCTCATATAGTTACGTTATCAATAATTTATTTAGTGTTAATATTGTTCTCTTCCTTCCGACACATTGTGTGACATGTGAAAAATGAAGCAAAGAGGTTATTTTAATTTTCAAGGATATGTAATGATGAACAAAAATAATTTATCATGTTATATTATATATTAACTCTTTAATCTTACGCTTTAAAATGCAGAAATTTATTTTTAATATAAAGATATATTTACACTAAGATATAATAAAAAATTAATATCAAACTCATTATTCAGAATATTTAAACATACTATACACAGCAAAGCCAAAAAGCAAAACAAAGATACTTCTATGGTTGTAACGAAAGGAAAAATGTAAAGAAAAAAGGGGGCATTCAATCATCCACGTGGTGAGCCAATTTTAACACAATTTTCTTTAGAATAGTGCTATCTAAACCACTTTTACTTCTCGCCTAGTTTTTTTTAAATATTTTATCGTTGATTTGGATAAATTTAAAAAAAAAAATTCAATATAAAAAAAATTAACAAAAATACGTTAGAGAGAAGAAAGAGTGTTTGAACAACACTATCCTTTCTTTATCTACATATTTATCTACATTAGCAGTCTGCGCATATTAAACAAGGGATCTCTGCACAAGAACAAAAGTTAAATGTTGAAGCAGAATTTCTTTTTCTTTATAGTTTGGGGATAAAGCTCCTCTCGACAGTCCTTATTTATAATAATCTATGCTGGCTACATTTATATATTGAGGTATGATATTCACACATCTCATTTTACTTTTCACATATTTTTTTAATTTTTGTCATTGGATCGGATAAATTGAAGAAGATCAATGAACATAAATGATCAAAAAATATGTAAGAAGTAAAACAGGATGTGTGGATAGCACATCTCTATATATTTTATTTGGTTGGATAGAAACGTGCATGCCGTATTATGCCCTTGTCCAATCACTTGGAAGTGCATGCCGGATCAAGGGTCGGCAGCTAGCATTAGTCGAGGCTACTTTGCATATTGCATTGTATGTAGGCCTGGCAAACGGGTCGTGTCTATCGTGTTCGTGTCGTTTTGGTGTAACACCTGTTATCTTAACGGGTCGTATCGTGTCACACCCGTTATCTTAACGGGTCCTTAACAGGTCGTGTCACTTTACCCAACCGGTAAAGTGACCCGACCCGTTATGACCCATTATGACCCGTTAAGAAAAAAATATATTTTTTAAAAATTTGCATATACCACACATTGCCACATAAATATTACTTCAAAACATTAAAACATTTCTCGTTCAAGTACTATATCTACGCTCGAAAATAAAAGCCTAATAAAAAAAATAATACATACACTACTAATATATTACAAATATTAAATGTGCAAGGATAAAGAGTTTTTGTTTTTAAGATTGTAAGTCTTTCTCAAAAGTTTACACCTCCATTTACAAAATCTTCAATTTACATCGATCATAATGAAATTGTATTCAATTTACACCTACATCTATATAATTATTATAGTTTTTACTTTTTAGGGATATAAAATTATTAAATTAATGTATATAATTGTTAATATTACAGTTGATTCATACTTTAATTAAGTATATAAATTATAACATAAGATTTTGTGATATCCACATCCACTAGTGTAAATATTTTAAATTGAAGATCAAATTCATTCTTTGTATTCATATAGGGTTAAGGAGTGTAGCTGTAAAAATTCATCAAAATCAGAGTTAAAATAACCGTTAAATCTTGATTTTTCGTTTATAACCCTCGAAAAGCTTTGTCCCGTTACTTGATCTCTGAATGTTTTTTTTTTTGTGATTTTTTGCTGATGTGATCTCCAAGCATATACAAACAATTTTGACGGTTTGGATCGTTGAAATTAGTTTTGGAGAATTCGTAAAACGATAGATTGACTAACACTTAGAGTTTATTTATACTTTCATTAAGTATAACATAAGATTTCATTCATTGTATTCATATAGGGTCAAGGAGTGTAGTTATAAAAAATCATCAAAATCGGAGTTAAAATAACCGTTAAATCGTGATTTTTCGTTTATAACCGTTGATAAGCTTTGTCCCGTTACTTGATCTCTAAATGTTTTTTTTTTGTGATTTTTTGCTGATGTGATCTCCAAGCATATACAAACAATTTTGACGGTTTGGATCGTTGAAATTAGTTTTGGAGAATTCATAAAACGATAGATTGACTAACACTTAGAGTTTATTTATACTTTCATTAAGTATAACATAAGATTTTGTGGTATCCACTTGTGTAAATATTTTAAATTGAAGATCAAATTCATTCATTGTATTCATATAGGGTCAAGGAGTGTAGTTATAAAAAATCATCAAAATCGGAGTTAAAATAACCGTTAAATCATGATTTTTCGTTTATAACCGTTGAAAAGCTCTGTCCCGTTACTTGATCTCTGAATGTTTTTTTTTTGTGATTTTTTGCTGATGTGATCTCCAAGCATATACAAACAATTTTGACAGTTTGGATCGTTGAAATTAGTTTTGGAGAATTCGTAAAACGATAGATTGACTAACACTTAGAGTTTATTTATACTTTCATTAAGTATAACATAAGATTTTGTGGTATCCACTTGTGTAAATATTTTAAATTGAAGATCGAATTCATTCATTGTATTCATATAGGGTTAAGGAGTGTAGTTATAAAAAATCATCAAAATCGGAGTTAAAATAACCGTTAAATCGTGATTTTTCGTTTATAACTGTTGAAAAGCTTTGTCCCGTTACTTGATCTCTGAATGTTTTTTTTTTGTGATTTTTTGCTGATGTGATCTCCAAGCATATACAAACAATTTTGACGGTTTGGATCGTTGAAATTAGTTTTGGAGAATTCGTAAAACGATAGATTGACTAACACTTAGAGTTTATTTATACTTTCATTAAGTATAACATAAGATTTTGTGGTATCCACTTGTGTAAATATTTTAAATTGAAGATCGAATTCATTCATTGTATTCATATAAGGTCAAGGAGTGTAATTATAAAAAATCATCAAAATCGGAGTTAAAATAACCGTTAAATCGTGATTTTTCGTTTATAACCGTTGAAAAGCTTTGTCCCGTTACTTGATCTCTGAATGTTATTTTTTTGTGATTTTTTGCTGATGTGATCTCCAAGCATATACAAACAATTTTGACGGTTTGGATCGTTGAAATTAGTTTTGGAGAATTCGTATGCCATCAATCAAGTTCCGTGTGTGTGTCTGTATATATATATTTATTAAGTAGATTAAAATCTATTTATTTTGTACGTATAAATTATAATTGATCGGTATACGGAATAGTACATACATCACGTGTCACGTGTGTCATTATAAAAATAGTGAGATATGTCATGACAGTCATGTGTGTGATAAAAAGTTAATAACTTAAAAAAAAAAAAAAAATTTCTCACCACTTCTATTAATTTTCATTTTTCCCTCTCTTTTTTGTTTCCTTTTCAACTTGTTTTTATCATTTTCACTTTTCCCTCCAACATCTTTCCCTAATTCCCTCACTTTTTTGTTTCATTTTCAACTTTTCTTAACATTTTCATTTTCCCTCCATTTTTTTTTTCAAAAAGGGCGGCAAGTTGGCAACGGCAAGAAATTGATTATTGAAATTTGAATGGAAAGAAATCACATCAAATTTCAATGGATGCAAAATCATGCAATGCATCATGCATATTAAATTATTAATTAATAATTATTATAGTTTTTATAAAATTTAATATATATATATATATAATTAGTATAGATAGACTTAATATTTTGGGGGTATAATTATTATAGTATATATAATTATTATAATTATTATAAATTTTATAGTTAATTTAATATATATATATATATATTTATTATAATTTTTAGGGTATAAAATTGTAAAATTAATGTATATAATTATTATAGTATTTTTTTAGGGTTATAAAATTATAAAAATAATATTCTGCTTATCGTGTATCGTGTTACCCACGTGTATACCCGAACCAACCCGTTATCTTAATAGGTGCTTATCGGGTTACCCGATAACGACCCGATTCGTTATCGTGTCGACCCAAACACCTGTTAATTTCGTGTCGTGTCGTGTCGGGTTATCGGGTCGTGTCGGAAATTGCCAGGCCTACTTGTATGTCATATATAAAGTAGGATAAGTTACCTTTTGCATGTCGTGATTAAGAATAACAATTTGGTTCTGTTCGTTGTATAAGATAAAAACTGATGGCTCGCAAAGTAATTTTGTTTCTCAGTTGCTAGGTTTCACACTTTAGTTTTTAGAGACGCTTAGACCCGTTTAGTATTTCTTCTTTTTTTTCTTTTTATTTTTTTTATTTTTTTTATTTTTTTTACTTCACTCAAAGTTAAGCAATAAAAAATATTGGTAAAAATAACATCCTGCGTATTTTTAAAGCAACAGTCTTCAGACAATAGCTTTTAAAAGTAATATATATGTTGCTTTTAAAAGCACAATTACCGCTACTACTACTACCACCACACCATTACCACCACCATCGTTGCCACCATAATCTTCTCCACCACCACCAGCGTTTTTGCCACCATTAGTACTACCACCACCACAAGCACAACTACCTCGACTAGCTCCACAACCACAACGATCATTACCACCACCATCGTTGTCGTTACCTTCGCCATAATTATCACCACCACCACCACAAGCATAATGGCTACCAATGGCACCACAATCACCACACCCCACTATTGGCACAACCACCACATGTACAATTACAATTATTGCTACCACCACCATTGTCATCGCCAGCCTCACCGCCGCCGCCACTGTTATTTCCATTGCGATCGCTACCGTTATCGTCGCCATCACCTACAATTGCAACTACGGACATTATACCACTACCGCCATCACCACTACCATCATTGCATTGCCAAGAACGCTGCAATCGCCACCATTGCTACCTCTACACCCCAACCACCACACTCTATCATTGGCACCACTACCACACCTCCACCGTTGGGGCTACTATCATTGCCATTAACCTCGACACCTTTGTCGTTGCCACCACTCCCACTACTATGTCTATTTTTTCTTATTATATACAATTTTATCATTTTTACATTAAATTTTACCAAACGCGTTTACACTAGTTTTTACACTCACAACACTTTTAAAAGTACATGTTATCAAACGCTCAACTGCTTTATGTTATAGTTGATTATTCTAAATACAATACATCTTTCTATTGGCATAAGCAATTTTTTTGAAAAAGTACAGCAATCCCAAACTGGTCCTTAGTGAATACTTTGGTTTGTTGATTATCAAGTATGCCACCGTTGACTTCTGCCAACAAAAAGATGTATTGTATTTAGAATAAATTGTATGTATGAATGCTTGCACCATAAGTAATAAGACTTCCTTTACAAAGGATTGTGCCAATGTTTGGCTCAAGTTGGGTTCTTTTTAATGTGTTGCATGTTAAAGACATTAATTTTTTTCTCAATATTGGACCAAAAACTATTAAGATAAGGTTAAAAATAAAATGATTATTTTCAAGCATATCACTTTAATCATTCACAACAGAAAGTAAAGACAGTAAGCAATAAAAACAATAAGTAAGTAACTAAAATTGATATTAATATTGTTGAATATCAAACAAAGTACATACATGTATGAACTTAGAAGAATCGATAAAATTCTTAGGCCATCTCCAACCAATTTGGCTAGGGGCAATAGGGCTAAAAATAGTTCGAAATGACACGAAAACCGTCTTCAACCGAGAGTTAGGCTAAAGGGCTCGTGGGCCCCACCGAACCAAAATTATACAATCAAGGTAACCCGCTGGCCCAAAAGAGACAGCCAGCTAGCCCTGGGCTGGTCCACAATTCAAGCCCAATGGCTACATGGTGACAACATGATGCCAGGTAGCCATTGGATTTGAATTTGTTTTTTTTTTTTTTTTCTTACAAAACTTTTTTAAAAAATAAAAATAAAAATAAAAAATTCTAATTTTTTTTTCCTATAACTATGTGACAGCCCGTCCCGGAAATTTTAAACGTAACGTGAAAAGACAATTTTGCCCCTAGTGCGATTTCTTTACGTTGTGTGGTTGTTTGATTGGTGTGGCTGGCTGTGGACCACACACGCATACTCCCATAATCTCCCTCACCCTTTTCCCCTATCCCTGCACCTGTCCCGAGTTCCCTTTCCCTTCCCATTTTCCATACAACGTACGGACACACATACAAACCCATCAAACCTCCACAGATCGAAGAAACCAAGCACATATTCAGACTCGTGAGGCTTGTAGGAGTCCAACCATGCCCATTTCAGGTAAGAACACATTCGTTTTCACGTCGATTACACGATGTCCGATTTGAGGTACTATTCATGCACACGTGATTTCTCACGTTTTAGGGAATTTCAAGCTTGTAGGTAGCTTGGTGAGGTCCCTAGGAGGCTCGGGGTGGTTCGTTTGATGGTTTTGGACGTCGGGATCACTAGTTTCGAAGTTGGCCGGAGTTGGGTTGATTTTTCAGGTGAGATTTTGTGGATTTTAGCCCTTGAAAGTGGTATGATTGTGTTCCTCTAGTTCTAAGCTTCATTTTGGTACCAATTTTGTGAAATTTGGTTGAAAAACGAAGGAGTTAGGACGTTTTAAAGTTTTCCCGATTTTCCGGCGCCGGAGGCCGCCGGAGAAGACAACGGAATATTCCGTCAAGTTTGACGGAATATTCCTGACGCCGTTGACAGAATCTGTTAAATCTGACGGAATATTCCCTACGGCGTCAGTTGACGCCGTCAGCGTGCCAGGCACGTGCCTGCGCATGGCCGGCGCGTGTGGCCGTGCCTTGGCCGGCGCGTGAGGGCGCGTGTGGCGGTGGAAAATCATTTTAAAAATATAGAGATGTTCCTGAGGTTGAGTAGATCACGTTGGTGTATTCATACACCCCATTTGAGCATTGTATGAGAAGTTATTTCTAAAGGTTGGTTATGTGCTTTAAAATTAACGTTTTTATAGTTGTTTCGCATATAGGTGAGACGTATCCCGAGGACGAGCGTGGTCACTCGAGGCAGGGGGGTTACGACCCTTCCACTTACCAGTGAGTGGGTTTTTGGTTTTCCGTATATACCTATATACTTATATTTTCTCAGGAATTGATTTGAATTGTCATTTGCCATATGCCATGCATTAGATTATCGTTATTTATGCATCGTTAGTTGCATTATTAGTTGTATATATATACATATGCATATTGGGTGCTGCGGACGCACAGGTAAGTGTCAGGTAAGTGTTATTCATGTTTACATTCAGTAGCGATTTGAGATGCTTAGAGAGATCATAACCTGCACCCCCGGTGTTAGTGCTCCCGCCCAGAGTAGGGCACAGTCTTTCACGTGTTGTTCACCTCCCGCACCACACGCTCAGCTTGGATCCAAGTTAGGTGCACAGTCCTGTCGTACAGACCACTTTAGGTGGTTCCGACTCGTAGGTGACCTGCGATTATTCGCACAGCCTTCACGTGATCGTAGCATTAGAGCGTTTATATGTATTGCACCCAAGCCTGTTGTACAGACCACTTAGGTGGTTCCGACTCGTGGCAGGTTTAGTTATTGAGATTGAGATTTGAGCTCTAGATGCAGCCGTACAGGTCACGTTAGGTGACTCCGGCTGCCAGACTATATGTTATGGATATGATTTATACCCGGGCATTTCATTCTGGGGTTCCGACATGACATTTTCTTAAGCATGATTGGTATATATATATATATATATATATATATATATGTACATATGTTTATTTTCTGGGAAGTATACAGGTTTTACGGCGAGGGGTTAGAACTTATTTATTAAATGGTTTTCGAAAAGCTTTGTTTTTGCCCACTCACGCTTTTGTTTTGCGCCCCTCCAGGTTCTAGTTGCTTAGCAGGTTTGGTGGTTTCCCAGAGGGCTTTCCCGGCATTTCTGACAGACGATCACCAGCGTAGGGCCACCTTCGGGTGTATTGTTGTCGCGTCCTTTTAGTTTGGACTGCTTAGGCATTATGCTCTGAACTTGTGTCTCACTTACGCTAGCACTTATTTCTATTACCTTGTATGCTAGTTTTTATTTATTCGTACTTGTTACATTACTATTTTATTAGCTTCCGCACTGTGCACATGGTTACGTCACCTCCGGGTGATGGCCAGTACGCCCTGATCTCGGTCGGGGTGTGTCAAACTACCTAAGCCATTAAACAACATTAAATAACATTACACAATGTTAAACAATATTAAACAATATTAAACAACATCAAATAACATTAAACAATATTAAACAACATTAAATAACATTAAACTTAAACAACATTAAAGAACATAATCTCCACCTTAGTACTAGTTGGGGAATTTATTCAAACTTAAACAACATTAAAAAAAAAATGATAAATTACATTTTACCCTCTCAGGTTTGGGGTTGATTGCAAACTCATACAACATTTTTAAAACATTTCAATTTCATACATTTACTTATCATTTTATTTCAATTTCATACATCCATTAGAAAATTGGTTAAGTAAACCTTTAACTGATGACGTGGCAAATATGGGATCCACATTTGTGCTGACGTGGCTGACAAACGTGTGCCACGTGGTATAAAAAATAAATAAAATATTAAAATAATTAATTAAAGAAAAGTTAAAAAAAACAAAAAAACCCAAAACCCCCTTCGTCTTCCCCACTTAACCCACACGAGTAGCAGCAGCAGAGCCACAACCACCCCTTCCCCATCACCATCGCAGCCCTCAAACCACTCATCCCTTTTCACCTCCCCTCCCTTCTCTCTCTAGAGACTCACTCCTCCCTTTTCACATCCCCGACCCACCTTCTCCCTCAACCTCACTCTCTTCACCTCCCCTCATTTCTCTCTCCCAGATCAACCTGCACCCAACCCTAATCCCCAAAATTTTATATCCCCCAATTTTAGCCCCAATCCTACCTAGTGCTGCAGGCAACGAGGTCGCGGGTCTCGAGGGAACCAGAAGAAGAAGAGGAGACACAGCGGAGGTGGGAGACGTATTTTGAGAGAGCAGCGAATGAGTCAGTGTCTTGGGGCTTCTTCGACAACGTGCTGCAAGGAGATGAGGTGTTGCAGATGGAATGGGAGAATGAGATGTTGTAGACGGGTTTCGAGGGAACCAGAAGAAGATGAGGAGACACAGCGGAGGTGGGAGACGTATTTGAAAGAGCAGCGAAGGAGTCAATGTCTTGGGGCTTCTTCGACAGCGTGCTGCAAGGAGATGAGGTGTTGCATACGAAATGAGAGAATGAGATGTTGCAGACAGAGGAGAAGAGAAGCTTGGGATTGGATTTTTTGGGGTTCTGGGTTCTGACGACGGAGGAGATGTTAATATTCAAATTAGAGTGTAATTTTTTATTAATTGTTTATGCCATATGGCACACGTTTGTCAGCCACTTTAGCACAAATGTGGATCCCCTATTTGTCACGTCATCAGTGAACGGTTTTCTTAACGGATTTTCTAACGGATGTATGAAATTGAAATAAAATGATAAGTAAATGTATGAAATTGAAATGTTTTAATGATGTTGTATGAGGTTGCAATCGACCCCAAACACGATGGGGTAAAATGTAATTTACCCTTAAAAAAAACATTTAACAACATAAAACTTAAACGCCTACTCCATGCTTCTTTTGGCCCAAACATGTGCAACAAGATCCTGTTGTAGGTACTTGTTTGTGGCAAGCGAACCTATCATCCTATGGCGCCTCATGTACTCAATTAACGAGATATTACCAGTTCTTGGATCCAAAGGCAAATTAAACCCATCATATATTTTTGCACGAGCCCTCCTTGACATATTTGGATCATCTTGTTCGTCATCAGATTCTTCATCAATATAGTCATCAGATACTCCAAAGAAAGCATGCCAGATCCATGTGTCAAACAAGGCAACCGCCTCTAACACAATAGTTGGTTTTCTTGATTTTCCATCTGAAGAGTTACTCACATATCGACACGTAACACTCGAAATCTGAGACGTAAAATTATTGAGATTCCATATCGACAAGAAATCTGCAAAGTTACTCACATATCGACACGTGACACTCAAAATTCGAGCAGGAAAATTATTGAGATTCCATATCGACAAGAAATCTGGAGAGTTACTCATTTTAGCAACACGTGTCACTCGAAATCCTATCTGAAAAATTATTGAGATCACATCTTGAAAAATTATTGAGGTAGTTTAATTTAAATAACCATATTAAATCAATTAAAATAATAAATTATGTTTGGCCTATGGCCCTTCGACCCCCTCAGTTGGAGATAGTTTTTTGTCAAAGGGCCTGACACTGTTCATTAAAATATTAATTTCTTGAAGGGCTATAGGGCTAAAGGGAGCCCTCTAGCCCTCATTCGGTTAGAGATGGCCTTATCAGATTGGATATAAGCCATCAGATTAGGTTAAAGATGCTTCCTTATAAAGAGTTGCAACCAAAGAGAGAAACTGTCTTAAGGCCAGTAAATCAATACTACGCAAAAGAAATTGTAGCAGAGCAAATTCTAATTGGTCTTAGAGCCTAAATGAGGCTTCCTAAAATTCTTAGGTCTTGGTTTCAAGTGATCATTTGGTAAGGCAAAAGGAATGAAACAAGTACAGCAAAAGAGTCTTTGGTTTGAAAACTTGTAGTATGTGTTGTCGAATGATTTGAGTGTCTGTTGCTCAAATCATTTGCTTGTATTTATAGGCCTTTCACTCTTCTTTCTTCGAACACTATGAAGCATCTTGGAGCCGACTCGATAATTAATTATATAATTTACTATACGTGTGATAAGGTAATTACAATTGAATTGCTTGAAGAGCACACCAAGACTTGTCCTATACAATTTACTATATTTAGCTTAATCTAGGAGATTACAGAGAGATTTGAGGAGGCAAGAGAATATCAAAACATCATTTGAGTAGATGATATATCAGGTCTTACTAATGTATTCAGCTCGTCCCCACCACTCGATGATGGTCCGCATGGATGGTCTGCACAATTGACCCTCACAAGAGAAGCTTTCATGTTGTGTTAGTTTGTGGTTGGGCTACTTTAATTTGGGTTGTGTGTAATCTCCTTTTCAATGTAAATCTTATTTACCAAAAAACATGTGGGTTAGAAGTTAAAATAAAGTGTGAAATATTTTTCCATTAAGCCATCTCCAATCGACGAAGGGCCAGCTGGCTCATTTTAGCCCTATGGCCCTCCAAAAAATTAATATTTTAATGAACAATATCATGTCATATTTCTTACTATCTCCAATCGAGGGCTAAAGGGTCATAGGCCAAACATAGCCATGTGACAAAAAACCATCTCCAACCGAGGGGCCAAAAGGCCATAGGCCAAACATAATTTATTATTTTAATTGAATTAATATGGTTACTTAAATTAAACTATCTCAATAATTTTTCGAGATGTAATCTCAATCATTTTTCAAATAGTAGTTTGAGTGACACTTGTCGATAAGTGAGTAACTTTGCAGATTTCTTGTTGATATGGAATCTCAATGATTTTACATCTCAGATTTCGAGTGCAACGTGTCAATATATGAGTAACTTTGCAGATTTCTTGTCGATAAGGAATCTCAATCATTTTATGTCTCAGATTTCGAGTGTCATGTATCAAGATGTAAATGGAGTAGACATTTAAGTTTTATGTTGTTAAATATATTTTTTTAATGTTGGTTAAGTTTAATGTTATTTAATGTTGTTTAATGGCTTAGGTAGTTATAAGAAGAAAATAAATTAGAATTTTAAAATTTTTTTAAAAAAAATTTGTAAGAAAAAAAAAATATATATATATATATATATATCAAATTTAACAACTAGCTGACGTCAGCAAGTATCTGTGACATCCCACATCGCCCAGGGAAGTGATCCTTAAATGTGTATTCCCATCTCTACCTAGTACGAGGCTTTTTGGGAGCTTACTAGCTTCGGGTTCCGTAGGAACTCCGAAGTTAAGCGAGAAAGGGGCTAGAGCAATCCCATGATGGGTGACCCACCGGGAAGTTGCTCGTGAGTTCCCAAAAACAAAACCGTGAAGGAATGGTAAGCCCAAAGCGGACAATATCGTGCTATGGTGGTGGAGCGGGCCCGGGAAGTGATCTGTCCCGGGCCGGGATGTGACAATTTGGTATCAGAGCCTTACCCTGGCCGTGGTGTGTCGACGAGGACGTCAGGCCCCTAAAAGGGGTAGATTGTGACATCCCACATCGCCCAGGGAAGTGATCCTTAAATGTGTATTCCCATCTCTACCTAGCACGAGGCTTTTTGGGAGCTCACTAGCTTCGGGTTCCGTAGGAACTCCGAAGTTAAGCGAGAAAGGGGCTAGAGCAATCCCATGATGGGTGACCCACTGGGAAGTTGCTCGTGAGTTCCCAAAAACAAAACCGTGAGGGAATGGTAAGCCCAAAGCGGACAATATCGTGCTACGGTGGTGGAGCGGGCCCGGGAAGTGATCCGTCCCGGGCCGGGATGTGACAGTATCCGTTAGGTTTCAAATTTCTAGATCGACTCGAGTTGGCTAAACCAGCCAGCCAGTTGGCCCGATTATGCAATTGTGGCCCGTGTGGCCCACGAGCCCTTTGACCTAGCCTTTAATTGGAGATGATTTTCGTGTTATTTCGGGCTATTTTCGGTCATATGGCCCTCTGGCCGGATCAGTTGGAGACGATTTTCGTGTTACATTTCATCACTTTTTTTTATGAATTTTTCAATCTAGAAAATTAAATACAAAGAACAATATTTTTTTTCTATTCAATCACACAAAAAAATAGTTATTGTTTGTATATGTTTTCTTAATCAAATAAACGGTTGAATATAAACCCTTAAAATCCTAAACGGTTGAAAAATAAACCCTTAAAATCATGTTTTAGAATTAAAAATGAGGCTCACCCATTTCTAAACTAAAAATAAAAACAAAAACCAAGATTGGCCCGTCAATTTGGTTTCCTAGTTTTTGGGGTGAGATGTAGCCGAACTTTTTGCTATCCAAGGATTGAAGTTGCTAGCCCATGTGGTGGATGTAGCCCTATTTTTCGGCCAATTGGGAATGAAATTTTTCATTAGAGCTACAAATGTGGTAGCCTCAAGGAGGATAAAGCCTCCATTGAGGATGCTATAAGAGAGGGGCTACATTTGGCCAGTTTGATGCCCCTTTGGCCAAAAAATGGTCAGGCGGACTCCATGAAGTTATAGCTCAGCCATCGGTTAGAGATGAGTTTTTAGGCAAATCAGGTCATTCTTTGGCTTTTGGACCTTTAACCCTCTCCGTTGGAGATGACCTAATTTTTCGGACTAGAACTCTCGTTTAGAACTTCATTCTTAGTTGCTCACTGGAGCTCCTAAATAGTGGGCTTTGGTTTCAAGTTTTGCATCTCCAATGTGCAACTATAACGCACTTATGTCACATGATGCAATGGTGGATGTAGAATTCTAATTTTAACAGTCCTTGTATAACAAATCCAAGCTTTTTTCAGATATGAACAACACATCAAGTGCACAAATTCTATACAATTAATTTTTAAAGTTATACATTTTTCATCGTACACTTGTTAGGCATATAGTCATATGTCGAGTCATTTTGCGCACATTTCATACGTCTGACAACAACTTACTATTGAGCTTGTATGTTGACAACTTTTGAGTGAGCCTATCAACATACTATCATTGAACACTTGGTGGTCATTCTATGATCCTCGGAAGACCTTCTTAAGCGTCTTTTTTCCAGCCTCCGAAGAGTCCCAGGATTATCATGGTTTCATAATGAGTCCGTTCTGACATGAAAAGAGGTATAAATACTAAGATGTATAAATTGTGACGTAAAATTTTCATTCCCTAGAGATGCCAGCTCTTGACTTAATGTTTGAAACCACAATTTGCTTGGATGAAAGTATGGTGGTAAGAATATTCATCTGTATATATATATAAAAAAAAAATTATATTTCATACAAAATGTGTCCAGAATAATCCTAAATTCATATTTTTCCTGATACATAGCGCTTATATATATAGGAAAGTGTTATTAGTACTTCAAAAATCTCATTGTACACTCTTCACAAGTGTATTTTTCTTTTTAAATATAGAAAATTTGGAATGTAAATTGTAAAATAAAGAATTTGAAGTACTAATAACAATTCCCTATATATATATATTCCTTTATTCGGTCTCTTTGTCTGTCCATTTCTTTTTTTAAAAGGAACTTTAACGAAAAGTTTCTGGAACTGTTCACTTTAACGAAAACCCATATTTTTACACTAAAAAGTCAATCCTGGTACTATTCATTTTACCCTTTATTTTATCCTTATCGTTAAAATTCAAAGTTTTCAAATCATTTTCATTTTTTTTTTTAAATAGTAGGGGCCAACATCATTTGAATCTATTTTTGTCCAACTTTTGTATTTAGTTGCATGACAAAATTTCATCAACAATTTATTAGTGCACACCCTCCGCCACATAAAGTCCACCATACCTTTGAAATAATACAAAAAAGCAAATAAAACGATCGCGTTTTCGTCCTCCTCCTCCCTACCATTACTCGAATCCAATAGCTGCCTCAATTCTGTCATCTAATCACAAGTCTTCAGATCCTCTCCTTCCAAAAGCCCTAAATTTAAAAATACGCAACGCGTTGTCCTGCTGGCCTCTCACTCTCCCCCCGTTTACTTTCCTTTTGTTTTTGGTCAATACTCCCTCCACTTTACTTGCTCAAAAGTCCTACCCTTCCCACCTCCTTCCATGCACTTTCTTCCTCCCAACTTTTCAGCCCTATATATTTCTCCCACCTCCTCCCTCCATTTCCATCCCACTCCACAAAAACTTCAGCTTCATTAAAATCCCAACTCCCAAATTTGATCACTTTCTTTAGAATAAACCATGGCAGCTTTTGCGATTTTGCAACTAGTCCTTGTTATTTCTTTGTTTCATTTCAGCTCAGCAGCCAGGAACCTTGCTGAAATTTCCGATAAAAACCAAATGCAATTCCAGTACCACAACGGCCCTCTCCTCACCGGACAATTCTCCGTCAACTTGATCTGGTACGGCCACTTCACCCCCTCCCAGCGTGCAATCGTTTCCGATTTCTTCACCTCCCTATCCAAACCCACCTCCGACCAACCATCTGTCGCCACGTGGTGGAAGTCCATAGAGAAATACTACCACCTCGCGCATTTGAACACACCCTCTTCATCTCTCTCCCTCTCTCTGGGAACCCAAATTCTTGATGAAAATTACTCTCTTGGAAAATCCCTCACTTCCCGCCAAATCCAACAGCTGGCCTCAAAGGGTGCACTAAACTCCGCAATCAATGTCGTTTTGACATCGTCCGATGTTCTTGTCGACGGGTTCTGCATGAACAGTTGCGGCACCCACGGCTCATCCAACGACGCTAGTCAAATCAGAGGATCAAAATCCAACAAGTTCGCTTACATTTGGGTCGGAAACTCAGAGAGCCAGTGCCCGGGGCAGTGCGCGTGGCCATTCCACCAGCCCATCTATGGACCCCAGAGCCCACCCCTTGTGGCCCCCAACAACGACGTGGGCCTGGACGGCATGGTGATCAACCTGGCTAGCCTTTTGGCGGGGACCGTGACCAACCCTTTCGGAAACGGCTACTTCCAGGGTCCGAAGGAGGCTCCTTTGGAAGCTGCTTCTGCTTGCCCTGGGGTCTACGGCAAAGGGGCCTATCCTGGTTATGCTGGGGACCTACTGGTGGACCCCACAACCGGAGCTAGCTACAATGCTCATGGATCGAATGGGAAGAAGTACTTGCTTCCTGCTCTGTTCGACCCTTCGACTTCGACTTGTTCTACTTTGGTTTGAGGGTTGAGACTCTTTAACAGGAGATACGAATTAATATTAAAGTATATATGTACATTACGAGAGAGATTTAGGGAGATGTATTCTGATATCTAAATTTTTTTTATTCTTTTGTATCACATTGAAAATTAATATAACTACATTATTTTGTTATTCTTTTAATGGTTGGTATTATTTTGTTATGCTTAGTTATCCTAGAACATCTCTAAATAAGATGTCAAAACTGCTACATAGACCTACAACAATAAAAAAATAACAGCAATCTCTCTTCGACCGAGCCTTCAGTTTCTTACATGAACCTGAATCAATTGAAGGCAAAACCAATGTTGTCAAATTTGACGGCAGCTATCAAATTTATTTAATAATTTAAAAAAATATATAATGCAATATATAACAATGTTGTTGAGTGTTCCAAGTATTTGATTTGTTGTGTTGACCCTAAAAATTAACAAACCTACGTGGTCCACAGGTTGAATAGCTAATGAGCTAACTACGACATTAGGTTGAAAGCAGGGTGTGCCAACTTGTCGACCGAGCTCGGTCGATGAGTAAATGAATGTGGTGATGGTGTTGAACGCATTGCTGACTTCTGTTATTCGAGAGATCACGGCCGATGAAGGAACTCGTCTCGGCTTCTAGGTACTAAAGTCTGAAGACAAGGCTGCAAGTCACTGCAAAGTTCACGAATCATCAACTCCGGGCTCAGTTGCTTCAATTATATTTGTGAAAATATAAGTGCACCAAATTTGTATTATACTATAAGAACACAAATACTCAAAGAAGATAAGTGTCTTGACTGTAAATGTGGTTTGGCTCTTGGAATTTCGAACTCTACAATGCACTCGAGAATATCCAATCATAAAATGGGTTCGGCTTTGAATGTCACAAACAACGTAAGCTGGTAACACCTCAACTCGCGCAAGACGTTAATGAGATGATCTCTTCCAACAAGGACTCAAAGACTCCTTGCTGATCGAGACTTGGACAAATAGTCAACAAAACTCAAAGCAATACTGTTAATCCAAACTGAAGGCATTCCTCGATCGCCTGACTCTATGGCTCCAGTGCTGTTAATTCAAACTAAAGATGTCGCCAATTCTTAACCACAATGCTATTAATCCAAACTGAAGATGTGCTTGACGAAGTTAGGAAGGTTAGTGTTTTTCTCAAAGATGAAAGGGTTTCGCATAAAGCAAGAAAGTGTGCAGGGCATATTTGCATATTGTGTTGAAGGTCCCTTAAATGTTGCAAAACCTCTTCTTTGGCATTCCTCGGTCCAGTCTTTATTGCTCGGCCACTCCTACTAAAGTTAGGACTTTAAACCCAGTCTTCTTTTTCTTTTCTTTTTCTTTTTTTTTTTTTGGTATTTTATTCACTCTTGATCTTAATCACACATGAACCTTGATTCTTGGAATATTCGAATCTTATCAACGTTCATCCTTATCCTTAAACAATTTTACTCATACTAAGACTCAGTCGAATCTAACCTAACTCCTTAAGAGTTGTACACTTATTAGGATTCGGCCATCCCACCTTGGGTTGGACTCCATCTTAGAAACACAACCTGGGTCGAAGATCTTTACTCTGTGTCGAGCCCATAGCTACATTTAGCCCAAGCCCAATATTTTGGGTCCAAACAGGTTATGGGGAAGGGCAATCGGCCCAATCTCCCTCAAACAATTGATTATAAGCCCATAGCTACATTCAACCCAATCTCCCTCGAATGATTGATTGTAAGCCTAATTATCACGAAGCAATTCATGACACTATCAACAGAAGGGTCCTTGTCAACTAAAATCCATAAAACACCAAGAAAAGTTATCGGGAAGGGCAATCAATGTTATTGCTTTTATTGACAATGAGCCCGTTATGCAACGTTTTCATGACATGAAAGCTAGTTAGCAACAATTGTAACTTATTTGTATTAATGAATTATGAACGACGTTAATATTGTCTATCTACTATCTAAAATGATTCGGTTGTCTAATTTTTTTTTTTTTTACCTTTTACTCTTTTAAATTTTGTCTTGCTCTCTGTAATTCCTGGCTTAACCACTGTATAAACAAATAATGTACAAAAATATTCCTAATAAAAAGGAAGTCACAATATTACCTAATATTACGATAAATACAATAATTGACTCACGTACGTCGACGGAAAAAAGTTCACTGGGTCGAAAAAAAATTTCCGATTCCTATTATACAATGCGTGCATGTCCTCTACCCTCTTTATTCTTGGTCAAACTTATTATCAATGGCAGTGTGCTGGTAGGTTTAGGTCATTGCGACCGTTATGCCTTTGAGCACACTCATCGCTGTCCAAGTAGCCAGCACCATACAAACTTGAAACATTTGCGCTCCAATTCCATAAACCTCATGACCTTCACATGCAGCAGGCGGCGCATATTCGGCTGTGAGCTAGCATGGTTCATGTGTTAATAAAATACCTTAGACAGCATTCATATGCATAATGCACGCACCCTCTCCAGTCTCCTATCCACGATAATGAATTACATGGCATTAGTACACTATCATAATTATTGTGTTAATAAAATAAAGATATATATAAAAAAAAATTATTTACATATTCTTATTTTATTAATAAAAAACATTAAATGACGATAATATTTCCGTTTCATGTTTATTGTTCTTTTAATCTACACGTGAAGAATTAACTAGTACTACTAGATTGCTTAAGCGCCTGACAATGCGCAGACTGTCACAATTAGCACCGACCATTCTCCACTCACCACTGTCGCCAGGTGCGTGGAACTTTCCGTCTTTCCGACCCATGATATATAGTATTGTTCGTCAAACGCTGTACAATACATACTCCATTTGTTTCCAAGGTTCTTCACCTCTACGCTACTACTAGTTTAACAGCTTAGTCATCTTCTACCATTATAATTTCAAAATTTACCAAGTTTGCTAAGAAATTGAAATTCTAATTTCAAATTTTACTTTCTGATCATTTTTCAATACACTTATTAGAACCACCACATCCTTAATTAATTGTGTCATTCCTATGTTCCACACCGACCAACCCACAGGAAAGCTTAAATCTTATTAATCATCTAATCTGTTGATGCTTGTCATTTAATTAATTTGTTGATAATCAGAAGTGGGACGTGCATAATATAAAAGTACTATTGAAATTATAATTAGAAGTGAGACGTGCATAATATGAGTAGTATATCACGTGTTTTTATATAAGTAGTTAAAAATTTTAATATTTAAGTTATTAACTTTTTAGCACACATATCTTACCATTTGTATAGTAACACGTAATGTACCATCTTGTTTTTCAGTCACACTAAAAAATATCTCTTAATTTAGTATCTTACCAATTAAATATACGTGACAAGTGTTAGAATCTCGTCAAATGTTGAGGATAAACACGAAGGGGAAAATGACGGGAAGGTGTAGTCAATCTCAAAACCAAAACCAAAACCCAAACATATGATCTGTATACAATGCTCATCGAAATTGAAACCCTAGGTGCTGTGCTGCCTTGTAATTCATCCCAATCAATAAAGTAAGCTTAATCCCCACGCGACTGCATTTAAAAACATACCAATCACTCACTCTCTCTACCCACCTGTCCCTGAGTTTTAGCTTGTGTACGTCCCCTCCATCTGTGTGTGAATACACATCTCTCTCGGGCATTTTCCCAAGAGAAATGTTGAAGAAGTCTTGTCGAACTTTTCATAGATTCTCATACACTTTATATTTTTAGTATAATATTTTATAAGAAATTATTATGAAAATAACTTGGGTTAACTTTATTTTAATAAAAGATCATACAATAACTTTATTTAATAAAAAAAAAAACCTTAAATTTTAATGAAAAACTCATACATTTTAATAAAAATAACAAAGAACTTAAATTTTAATAAAAAAGACATAATTTTAATATTAAAAAAAAATTGTCGTGCAAATCGGCGCATCCTCGCACAAACTGTTTATGAAACTTTACGGTATTACATTGTTTATGAAACATAACGGTACTATTTATAAAACTTATCACTGTTTATGAAACTTAACGGTATTACACTGTTTATGAAACTTACTATACTGTTTATAAAACTTAACAATACTACACTGTTTATGAAATTTAACGGTACTACACTGTTTATGAAACATAACGGTACTATTTAAAAAACGTACCACTGTTTATGAAACTTAACGGTATTACACTGTTTATGAAACTTAACGGTATTACACTGTTTATGAAACTTTCTTCACTGTTTAAGAAATTTACTACACTGTTTATGAAACATAACGGTACTATTTATAAAACTTACCATGGTTTATGAAACTTAACGGCATTACAATGCTTATGAAACTTAACAGTGCTACAATGCTTATGAAACTTAACGGTGCTACAATGTTTATGAAACTTAATGGTACTACACTGTTTATGAAATTTAGCGGTACTACATTCTTCTCTCCCCTCTTCTTGAATTTTCTTGGCACATTCTCACCTTCTAAACACATTTTCTTCTTCAAAATTTCTACCATACTCATCAAATTTTCTCTATATCTCTTCAATTTCTTAACTTTCAACACCAACTACTGAATTTTCTTCTACTGTTCACCCATGTGCAGCTTCCTCTTCTCCTCCACCTACAATTTAACCTTCTCCCTTTGCAAAATAAAAAAAAATTAACGCAAATGAAACCAATAAAATCGAATACACCCACATATATGAGCTCAGATCGTATCCCCGCTTCATGTCCTTCAATTTAGAAGCATCTCAAGTCTTCAATCATCTCAATATCCGTGTTGACTTAAAAACCCTGAATTTTAGTTACCATACAATTTCCGAAGCATCTCACGGCACTGGCTACGTGGATGGAAATTGCTGGGAACATTGCATTCGTCTCAATGGTGCATCATGTAAATCAAAATTGTAGGTATAAAAGGTAGTGGCTTGGCAAATAAAGTTGCACAAGGTACTCTTCAGTGCTTCATATGTCCATAATAGATAATATGTAGTAGGGTGTGTATGTGTGTGTGTATATATATTGTACAAAATATAGAGGTGTGTGTTGTAAAATAGATATTGGAGTAGCTATGATTGGAGTTGCTTCGAGCAAAGTAATTTTTAGACCCCAGTTGATGAGTATTGGAAAAAAAAGCTGCCAGAAGATG